ATACAGTAGCTAGTACTGCTTTGAGTTCTTGGAATAATGTCTCTTGACTTGATGAGTGCATGGGCTCAGTGCAGGGCTGACAGTATACATGTACATGTAAGTTATGCTGCATTATTCATACAAAGGACCAGCTTCAAGTTAGTCTGCATTGGCACTTTGATAGAATGATAAAGGTGTAGTACTGGGTTCAGAATTGGCACAGGAATTGCTCCAAAGAGGTCGCTATAACATCATCACTATCATTATGCCTACATACAATGTACTATTAATCAACATTTAGGAGGCCTTACTCTTCTGTGACTTAATCACAAGAGTCACAGTAAAGATATGACAAAAAGAAGAACTAAAAAGCAGTACTACCTTACATATACATGTATATACTGTATAGCGGTTTTTTTTTCAAGGATAACAAATTTCGCGAATTTCACAAATTTTTTCATGATTCGCGAAATTAAATTCCTTGAAAATCAATTTAATATGGTACAAGATGGCAGATTAGTGAAAATTCGCGAAAATTATTTCCGCAAACTTCCAGATATGGGTCATTCGCGAAATTTATTATCCTCGAAAAAAACCCGCTATACGGTACCCGCTATACGATAATGAGATGCAGCGCTTGCAAGATAAAGATCCTGTCTGACGTGTATACAAAATGTAACACCATGTCTGCTAGGTACTGTACACATATTGTACACATATTTATATTTAAATTAATGTACCTGTAAATAAGTGTTTACCTCAATGATAGTCTCTTCTTTTGGTGCTAAACTCTTCTCAACGTCTTCCTTGAGTCTTCTAAGCATCATTGGCTTGAGAACCTAGAACAGGAAATGTACATAAAATAATGATCCAACATCTAAAAATTCATTAATAGTTTAGCATGTAATGTAAACATCACAAAAGGACACATCTATAGAGTAAGTTGTTTCAAAAAGAGAGATTACAAGGGAAGAAAGCTAAAAAATAAGATTTTTGAAGAGTAGAAGTTTGCATTAAAGTTGTGTGTACTAATTTGATGTACTGTACATGTACATGTATTGTAGGCTCTATAAATTAATTTTTAGCAAGTACATGTACATGTACATGTACAGATGTATTATGAATCACATGTACATGTATGTGTCAGTAATTTAAAAATCACCTCTAGACTCAGTAAAATTAGGATAAGAATATACAATTAAAAGTGTGTGTGTGTGTGTGTGTTCCTTACACTTTGTAATTCTTCAACTTGTTCTTCAGTTTTAAGATCCCCAAACTGCTGGAGGAATAACTGTAATGAGGGGAACTGTGACGGCTCCAGGAAATTCAACAAACTAAACAATTCATCCACACTGTTCTGAAGAGGAGTACCAGTCAGTAGCACCCTGTGCTCCTAGAACAGCACAAAACACATTAGGAATGTACAGAGCTTTAATGCAACTACACGTACATGTACATGTACATGTGCATTTTTTGATCAACTTTAAAAAATCAAAAAAATTTAAAATTTAATCGGAATCCACTCAAACTTTCTACACAACATAAGAACATGTATATGCATCAGGAAAAATTATAAAAATGAAGAATTTTCTCCTTTCATTTTTTTGCAAAATTTGACCAAAATCACTGTACTATAATACAGGGACTTTGACCCAATTTTGAAGCAACTTTAAAAATTTGTAAAAATTTAAATTTTGATTGGAATCAACTCAAACTTTCTACGCTACATAAAAACATGTATATGCATTAGGAAAAATTATAAAAAAAGAGAATTCTTTATTTTCAATTTTTGGCAAAAATTGACAAAAATCGTTGCACTATAAGCAGAGGTTGCACGTCTACTGGAATTTTCGTGTACTTGTATTTACTTGTATTTTGAAAAAAGCAGGTCGTGTATGTACTTGTATTCAATGGCAAACTTTCGTGTATGTACATTTACTTATTGCTTCCCAAATTCGTCTATATTTTGGTGATTTTTCATTTACTTTTCATGTATCCTGTACTTAAATGTTGAGTATTTGAAAGGATAATATCTTTACTACCTTTTCTATTGCTGTTTTCATCATCTGCTATAGCTAGAAGGACTAAAAAGACCATCAAAGATCCATGGTTAAGCAAACTAACTGCCATTTTGACTGCTACGTGGACACACCCTTTAATTATTAATAGTTAATATAAATACATGAAAATCGTCTCCTCAGACTCCGTCTACTCATTTTTGGTTCTTGTATATACTTGTATGTACTAGAAGACCTGTTTTTCGTCTAAATACTCGTGTATCGTGTATACACGTGCAATGTCTGACTATAAGTACAAGAAATTTGGCCACAGCTTTAAAAATCCATTAAACATCTAATTCTGGAATTAGCTTATATTATAAAATTATATTACATATATAGAAATGTACATGTACATTTAAGACTACAAGTACATGACTACATGTAGTCATGTACATGTACTTACCATGTGTAGTTCTCTGAGTCCTTCCAACATTTTGCAGT